ACAATCATTTGAGTTTTTCTCAGGTAACTGAGCAGCTTGGGGCTGGTAACAAAAAACAGGGAAGTGATCAAGCTCAAGAGCTGTCTCTCTCCACTATCTACAATAAGCCAATTTAAACCTGAAGAAAACCAGTTAATCTTTCCTTGAACAGTTGCTAAAAGCAGTGACTTACCACTATGAAAAAAAGAGTACAAAATTTTTTAAAATCTAATTAATAACAAAGTAATTAAAATAGAGATGCTGGGCCACGTGATGTATGTGGAAGCTGATGGACCCTATTGTGGCTCATAGTGACCACATCTGTCGCAAGCATTAGTTGCTCAAGGAACTCTGGCTTAGAGTTGATGAACTGAAGTCTGAGTTTCGAACACAGTGACACATCAAGGAGAGGGAAAGTTACTTGGACACTGTTTCAGGAGGCAGTCAACTGCTTCAAGCAATTACCTCGAATTTGGTCACTGGTCAGGGACAGAAGAGTATGACCACCAACAAGACAGGTAGAGATATCCGGGAGGTATAATAAATTCAGCCAAAACTAGGCTTGAAATCTGTTCCAACTCAAGTTAATAAATGAAACAGATTCTGAATTGGTGGTACATAAACTCAAGAGCCAAATACTACAATTATCAGTGGAACAAAAGGTACGAAAGATGGCGTATATTCCTGCACTGACTTCTATAATGTCAACTTCAATTGAATTACAGAGCACTGAAAAAACTACATTCTCCCAAATTTTAAAATGAAGCTGTCAAGAAATTTGAACAGCTAAATACCTCTACAGACAATGGATAAAGCAAAGTACAAATCCTACCATTTATTGTCTTAGGTCCAAATGATTGAGTATTAAACTCATTGAACTAATATGAATCATTTCTGGCTGAGGAATACCAAAATCAAAATGGTTTCATTAATTAAGTAAATGAGATTTAATTTACACATTTTAGAAAGCATAAATAAAACATCAATGATGTTTAATCTCCTCAAGGAATCAACTAATAGGATCAAGAAATGGAACAAATTCCACCTAGAATGTTCTAAACACAGTGGAGCTGATTTTGAGCTCCGTCTATATTCAATTGTTTAAACTAGTTAAAATCCCATTCAAAAGACTAATTAATTAAACTTCAAGTATTTTCCAGATTTCCCATCACAACATTGACAGCAAATTGACAAAAATCAGAGAAACTGTGTACATAAAAGTGTTTCCACCATTTATCTAGGGTTTTCGCCAATTTTTTAAAGTGCCAGCAGGAGACTGAGATTGCAATCAGATATTGTAACACAAAATGATAATGTCACTCAACTTTTTAGTACAACTTTAATTGCAGCAACAGGTGCCAGATTTGCTTGCAGTTGTGAAATGGTTGAAAATATAACTTGAGAGGTTAGGTGTGCCATGAAAGGCATTATAGTTTAAGTGCAAGGTTAAGCTCTCAGAGAATCATAGAATCCCTACAGTGTGGAAGCAGGCCATTCGGCCCTTCAAGTCCACTCCTTCCACTTCTCTACCCTAACCCTGTAACCCTGCATTTCCCATGGCTGGATGGCTAATCTAGCTAGCCTAAACGTTCCTGGACATCATGGGCAATTTAGCATGGCTGGTCCCCTAACCTGCACATCTTTGCACTGTGGGAAGATACTGGAGCACCCAGAGGAATCCCACGCAGACACAGGGAGAATATGTGGAGTTTGCACAGACAGTTGCCCGAGGGTAGAATTGAACCCAGGTCTCTGGTGTGATGACGCAGCAGTGCTAACCAATAAGCCACCATGCCATCCTCTCATAAAAATTGGAATAAGATGACTAGTTCAGGATAATCTTATGAGCAGCAATGTAGCAATGCATAGATAATCTGTTTATTCTGCACTTGATTGTGAAGAAGCAGCAATTCACCATGTTTCCTTCAAAAGCACCTCTCAAACCCTTGACCCCAATGGCAGCAGAAGGCTCAGATATTCCTATTCCACCCACAAGTTCTTCTCCAAGATACACATCATCATGGCTTGGAGCTACATCACCATTCCTGCACTGTCACTAGATTATAAATCTGAAGCTTTCTTTGCAATATCTACAACGATTGCGGTTCAAGAAAGTGACCCACTACCACCATGATGGCAATTAAAGATAGGCAATAAATGCTGTCCTTGACAATGATGCTCATATCACAAACTACTTTTTTTAAAATTTAGACCAGGATACTAGAATTACCTTCTTTCAATTTCAGTGCAATGTCATGAGATGTTTTACATACACTCGAGGGGGAATAGGGTCTTACACAGGATCTCATCTGCAGAGTTTCTCAGTACTGCAGTGGAATGTAAAGTTAGATTTTTGTGTTCAAGTCTCTGAAGTGAGTCGTGAACTCTCAGCTTTGTGACTCAGGAGTAGGAATTCTAATCATGTGAACCATGACTGATGCAGAACCATGATAAACTCTAATCTATTTTGTTGTCAGTTTTTTTTCTTTGAAATACAGAATAAATACATCTTCAGGTTAATAATTCTGTATGAATGATACATAAATCCAACAATTTATTATCTTATTAAAAAACTGACACAGCACAGTAATGTGACTTTGTGACATTCATCAAATCCAACAGAATAATAAACAAACAATCTTAGAACTTCATCACCTGAATCAGGTTTAAACTTTCTCATTCTCACAATGTTAGGCAAAGGACAAAGCCATACTCCCATCTTTGATTCCTACGCTTGTATACATGTACAGCATATTGAGAACTACACACATACAATCATATCAAAGTAGTAATGTAGTTCATCCATGTAGTGCAGCAATAATATTAGAGTTTTGCAAAGCTTCTTGTTCAAGCATGCAAATACTGAAGCCAGCCATATTTCTATGCAGCAATGCAAAAGACACACAGGACATGATTCTGTGTGAAAGGAGTTAGTTATTGTTTCCTACAGGCACTGAAACTAACTTAAGTATAATCCTGTGTGTTGTTAAGCAGCACTCATACTCAACTGATAGTAAATAAATGAAAGCCAGATAATTCAAGACAATTAACTGCTGAATACTACATAAATAATCCTTTTGTACTAAATGTACTGGTTACATTTATATAAGTAACAAAAGTCTTGTTGAAAAATCAGAATTTTTAAAAGTTGATGAACTGCAAAGGCCCACTTCCATTTGCTCATCAGTGTTTACTTAAATTAACGGATTACTTTGTTGTGTATAGGTCAGTATGAATGTGAATTTGGAAATATTTGTACTGATATCAAATAAAATTAATCAAACTGGTTGCATATCTTTTAGGAAAATTAAACTCAGAAGCCTCAGATAATGGCAGTAGGAAAACTCATTGCTGTTCTGAAAAGGGTTTATCTGAAATCAACTTCGGAATCCATCAGTATGTGATATATAACATGCGCTGTTTCATGGTAGCAATTCAAGATTATGCCCGAGGTAATTTTCAAACCTACACTCAACATTCGCTCAGGTTCATCATCAAAAGCATTTCCCATAAGTGAAGCTTAGGATCTTTCTAATCAGTAGTTAAACTCCCTCCTAAATATCTAGGGTTGCACAATTGTGATCTGGTGGAAAACTAAGCTGGCTAATTTACAAACAAGTTGGGAAAATAATATATGATCTAGGAGACATAACTATAAAACAAAACTTACCACATGAGCAGATACTGTACAGTTCTCACACTACCATCAATACTTAAATCTCCAGAATCTAAGTGTATTGAATCTAATTGTGTGCAATATAGGAATTTATTTTATGCTCTGTTATTTTCAGATTAATTCCGAAGTGCAATGCGTGAAAATGTAGGTAAAGTAGCGCAATTGAAAAGGAATAGAATGCAGACAAAATCATCCAACTTTCCAATGTAAGTATTAGCAGATATTAAATCCACTTTGCAGAAGTGCAGGAAATCTCTTTATAAACTTGCATTCTTTGTATTAAAACATTCTGCTCATAAATGTGACAACTGAGGAATAGCAAGTTTTGTCACTATTCTTATCAAGGGCCACCAGTGAAACAGAAAGGAATCTACAATTGACCAAGTCCTCCACTTAGAAACAGCCTTCACCTCAAATAATGTGATAGCAGGCTGCATTAGTTAATACGTACATCAGTTATTATTATTTCAATATAAAATGTCACTGCACATTAACAAACCTCATGACAACCATTGTGAGCAAAACAGACAAAAGGTGAAGAAAAATAAGATGGTAAATACAACACTTGCTGACATCTGCCTCCTTTTCACAAATTATGGCATAAAAATATGGCACTTCTGTGGATTGGGTTTTTCCAAGATCTCATTGCTCCACTGTCCCATTTTGACACTTACTTTCCAAGAAGCCTCCTTATACCTCACTTATCTATATTCAAATTCATGCAAGTTCCAACTTATTTATCATTGTATGAACTCCACATAGTACAGCTTCTTGCTTTTCATTTTTAAAGAATAACTTGCAATATTCAGTTAATCCTATTCTTTATGCAATCATGCAATGAAAATTATTTTTGCCTTTTTTCCCCTCTTTGAATTAGTGGCCAATTCTCTTGTTTCAATACAGTTTATCATTTTAATCGAGATGATAACTTTGCAGTCCAATTGACATAACATTCTTAACTAATTTATGCTCCCATGCTGCTAATGAAGAGCCATGAACCTAAGAAGCACAGACAACCGTCAGGATTCTACGAATTATAAATTCAGCTCCCCAACAGTGATGCATAATCTTAGAATTTAGAGTACTCAAAAATTACACAGAAACAAACATATTGAGAAGTGCTAACAGACAGTGGCATGACAACAACATCTACTGTAACAAAATAATTTTCAGTCCACCTGTAAAAAAGAAATTCTTCTAATGTTCTAAATAAATTTGTATTCCTAACCTTAAAATAAAACTACAAAATTCAATCTTTGGAGACAACATTCTTTCAATGTTTCAGACTCTTGCAAACTCACAGTGTATATTTTGAAAATCATGGAATTTCTTTGAATCTACTCACAGGTTAGACAAACAAGAAGAGTTCGGACCACAAGATCACAAAGTAGCTTCCATCTTGGAGGTACTTGCGCAGAAACAGTTGGAAGAATGATCTCTGCTGGAACATAGTACTGGACTGTATAAGTTACCAAGATCCCAAAGGAGTAAAGGATTTTCACCAGCTGGTATAGCCTAGGAAAAGGAGTCATGAGATGGAATAAGTTCACAATGGTTTGTAATATTAGAATGTAACATTATGCTGTTTTGTTAGTGCAAATTTGTAAGAATCTGTAACAATTTTACAATGTGAAATCCAATTATGTAAAAAATAAAACAAAAAAACAGTTTTAAGATAATCAGATTTCTAGTTAATCACATCTTTCCTCCCAATCCCAAGATCGATTAATTAATCTCAAAGCTCATTTGTTTGTCTTTTTAAAACAAAATTACTTTTTATACTTTTCTTTAAACACAATTTACATACAAAGGGACTAATATTTTATCATCTTCTCCACTTTTTCCACCTTCAGTACTGTATACAGTATGGCAATGTTGCTTAAGGCACAATTTAGTGGCTTAGATTACTGCTCAGAAGACACGAATTTGACCACCACCAGGACAGCTAAATTTAAAAGTAAATAACAAAACTGTAATGAAAAGCTAGGGTCAATAATGATGACCAAGAAACATCTAGATTGTTGTACAAACTCTTCTGGCATAGGAATATTTGCCATCCTTACTTGGTGTGACTCACATTGAACTACAGACCCACAGCAATGAATGACTCTTAACTGCTCCCTGATACAGATGAGCAAGACGCTCAAAGAATAAACCAAACAGGCCATCCTACATTAATCTAGGCACTGAAAACAACAAAGTCAAAACCTGCCTAAGTGATCCTGCAAAGTTCTCCTATTAATATCAGGAGATTTGTGCCAAAATTGGGAAATATTTGTCTCAGGGACTAGTCAAGAAATAGATTAACATTGTCATACACACTAAATTATTACTTACAACAAATGTCCCAGGCTCCTTCACCACCATCTCACCAGACTGCAACAAGGTATGAACGCTAACTAGGAAATATGGTACAAGTAGGTCTCAATCTGTTCAGCATCCAAGGCTTTAACTAAGTGAGCAGATAGGTGATTGTTTGCTACTTTATAAAACTTGCATCCATTTAAAACAATGGCACTAATTTAAAACTCAAATATTGCATTAAATTTATATCTAGACTAGTTAAATTACTTGACATAACTACAGACAGCGTCTGAATGATATTTCTAAACTTAAAATCTAATTAATTAAATTGTACAAAACAAAGACAAGAGCAGTTATAGATTCCCAGAGCTTTATAGCATGGAAACAGACCCTTTGGTCCGACTCATCCATGCCAACCAGATATCCTAAATAAATCTAGACCCATTTGCCAGCATTTGACCCATATTCCTCTTAACCACTCCCATGCATATACCCATCCAGATGCCTTTTAAATATTGTAATTGTGCCAGCCTCCACCACTTCCTCTGGCAGCTCATTCCATATACGCAACATCCTCTGCATGAAAAAGTTGCCCCTTAGGTCCTTTTAAATCTTTCCCCTCTCACCTTAAACCTATGCCCTCTAGTTTTGGACTCCCCACCCCAAGCAAAAGACCTTGTCTATTCACCATATCCGTGTCCCTCATGATTTTATAAACCTCTATAATGTCACCCCACTAATGCTCCAGGGAAAATAGCCCCAGCCTATTCAGCCTCTCCCTATAGCTCAAACTTTCCAACCCTTGCAAATCTTTTCTGAATCCTTTCAAGTTTCACAACATCCTTCCTATAGCAGGGGGACCAGAACTGCACGCAATATTCCAAAAGTGGTCGAAATAATGTCCTGCAGAGCCACAACATGACCTTCCAACTCCTGTGCTCAATGCACTGACCAATAAAGGCAAGTGTACCAAAATGCCTTCTTCACTATCCTGTCTACCTATGACTCCACTTTCAAGGAACTGTGAACCTGCACTCCAAGGTCTCTTTGTTCAGCAACACTCCCCAGGACTTTACCATTACGTGTACAAGTCCTGCCTTGATTTGCATTTCCAAAATGCAGCACCTCACGTTTATCAAAATTAAACTCCATCACCACTCCTTGACCCATTGCCCCATCTGATCAAGATTCCGTTGTTCTGAGGTAACACTCTTCACTGTCCACATCTCCAATTTTGGTGTCTTCTGCAAACTTACTAACTATACCTCCTATGTTCACATCCAAATCATTTGTATAAATGATGAAAAGCAGTGGACCCAGCACCAATCCTTGCGGCACACTCCTGGTCACAAGCCTCCAGTCTGAAAAACAATCGTCCAGCACCACTGTCTGACTTCTATCTTTGATGTTGCGTGTATGGAATGAGCTGCCAGAGGAAGTGGTGGAGGCTGGTACAATTACAATATTCAAAAGGCATCTGGATAGGTATATGCATGAGAATGGTTAAGAGGAATATGGGTCAAATGCTGGCAAATGGGTCTAGATTTATTTAGGATATCTGGTTGGCATGGATGAGTCGGACCAAAGGGTCTGTTTCCATGCTATAAAGCTCTGGGAATCTATAACTGCTCTTGTCTTTGTTTTGTACAATTTAATTAATTAGATTTTAAGTTTAGAAATATCATTCAGACGCTGTCTGTAGTTATGTCAAGTAATTTAACTAGTCTAGATATAAATTTAATGCAATATTTGAGTTTTAAATTAGTGCCATTGTATCCAAACGGCTAGTTCTCCCTGTATTCCAGGTGATCTAACGTTGCTAATCAGTCTACCATGAGGAACTTTGTCAAACACCTTACTAAAGTCCACATACATTACATCCACCACACTGCCCTCATCAATCCTCTATTACCTCTTCAAAAACTCAATCAAGTTAGTGAGACCAGACTTCCCACACACAAAGCCATGTTGACTATCCCTAATCAGTCCTTGCCTTTCCAAATATATGGAAATCCTGTCCCTCAGGACTCCCTCCCACAACTTGCCCACCACTGTCAGACTCACTGGTCTACAGTTCCCTGGCTTTTCCTTACCACCTTTCCCAAATAGTGGCACCATATTAGCCAACCTCCAGACTTCCGGCACCTCACCTGTGGCTATCAATGATACAAATATCTCAACAAGGGGCCTAGCAATCACTTCCCTAGCTTCCCCAGTTATATATTACAGCTGTAGCATGTAGGCAGTTGCTGAAAACCGATGCAACCATATCTGCACTGTGCCTTCAGCTCAAGAAATCTCAGCTCAGAGTTGATATGTTGAAATTTAAGTTTCAGACACTGCAATATATAAGAAAGTTACCTAGACACATTGATTCAGGAGGCTGTCAAAGCCATAGAATTGTTCCATGTATATGGACAGGAGGGTGTACCTACAAGTGTGGTAGCTGCAGGGATCCAGACGGTAGAAATGGAGTATGTTCATCCCTTGCAATTGTCCAACAGGTTAAAGATTCTTGCAACTCGTGAATAAGAGCAGGGATTGTAGAGGGGTTAAGCAAAATGACTGTGATACCATGGTGCGGAGAACCATTTAAGGTGGGGGAGATAAAGTAATGCAATTGCACCAGAAAAGAGTATGGTGAGACAAATAAGCAGTTGCATAGAACCAAGAGAGTCCCAAAGTCTTTGGTGCTTGTCCAGCACTAGGGTTAAGGGCATCTCCTCTACTGCAAATGAACATGAAAGGCGGATCCAGATACCAAGTTCTCCATAGATATCAATGACAAAGGCAGAACTAAAAATAAGGTTCTGCCAAGGCAGTATGAGCCAGTTGAGATTAAATTAAAAAGCAAAACCACAAAGCTAACGATCTCAAGACAACCAGCTGAGAAGCTAGCAAATTGGCATATAGTAAATGAGCTTAGAGTTGAATACATGGCTTATACATGGTTGCAACAGAAAAGGAGTTCAATTCATATGGTAATAGCAGTAGTACTGGAGAAAGAGGGAACTGTACCATAAAGACGGCCTTCACCTGAGCCATGTTAGTATTTGGCAAATAATATAACTAAGTCTAAAGAATTATATAACTAAGGCAAATTTTAATCAAATAGTGGATGCGAGGAATGCAAAAGCAACAAACTGGCGGGTAGAATATAATGTGGGAACAATTTATCACCAGAACTCGGAAGAGTAGGCCAAGTGACCTTTCAAGCCTATTGTCATTCAGTAAGATCATGATTGATCTAATTACTCAACTGTCTGATCTAGCCCTAATAAGTTTTCACCATTTAAAGAATCTTTTTCCACTTCCTTTTGAAAAAAACTCAATGATCAATGAGCAAAACATTATCAGCTATCTTACATGGAATCTCTTATTCAGAAACAATAATACCTAGATTGTCCCACAAAAAAAAACCCATCTCTTTGAAATTCACTCCATCAAGACCCCTCAGAATTTTACACGTTTCAATCTAGTCATTTCTTACTCTTCTAAACTCCAGCAGGTACAAGTCTACTCTGTCCAACCTTTCCTCAGAAAGCAGCTCACTCATTTCAGATATTAGTCAAGTAAACCTCATATGGACGGCTTCCAAAGAATTTATATCCTTCATGAAATAATGGGACCAATACTGTACTTAGTACTCCGTATGTGGCTTCACAATGCCATGTTACCTGTAGCATAACCCCACTATTGTCTACCATTATCCTTGCACTAGCATTCTATCAGCTTTCCTAATTAATTGCTGTACCTGCATACTAAGTTTTTGCAAATTATGCACTAGGATGCTCAGATCCATTTGCATCATACCAATCTCTCACCACTTTTTGGGTTTTTCCTGCCAATGGACCAATTCACATTTCCCCACATTACACTCTACTTATCTATGTGGCGGGAAGTCTAAAACAGCAGAATGTAGTTTAAATGGAGACAGACTGGAGATGAACTTGGGTGTCCCTGTACACAAAGCACAAAATGTTAGCATGTGGGTACAGCACATAATTAAGGTTAGTATAAAGGCAGTGAAGTATTGCTTCTGTGTTACAGAATAAGCAAGTATGGAAGTATTACTCCACACCTAGAGAATTGTTACCAATTTTAGATACCCTCCTTAAGGAGAGATATATCTGCAATTTGGGAGCAGCTCAAAGAAGGTTCACTAGATGGATTCCATTGCTGACGTGTTTTCTTCTCAGCAAGGGTTGAGC